TGGCCAAAGGAGTGTCCAGGGGGGTTCCTGGCCGAAGGAGTGTCCAGGTGACACTGATTCCCCTCCCGGGTAAAAGCAAAACGATCTCAGTCTGCCTCCTGCTGTTGGAAAATGATACAAAATTTAGAATATTTTTGTAACTTTAGTCAGTTTTGCTCGCCTTTGCTGGGGGAAAGGAGTTGGAGTTTCTTTTCAAAGGATCATCACTCAAGGTGTGATGAGCTTCACATCTCAGCAGGCTGGGAGCAGCACAGAGAAGACACAAAACATAATGAGCATTAATGAACATCAACTCAAACATGGTTAGAGATGCCTGGTCTGAGAAAAAATGAGAGAACCAAGGAATGAGTACCTAATTAACATCAGAGCCCAACAGATCCATAGCCAATAGGAAACCAAATGCTAAGAGCTGCATAACTTCAAACCAATGAACACTGCATTAATTTCCATCGGGTTTGACTGTATAAATATCTGAAAAATCTAGTAAAGAGTGATGTATGATGGAAGGATTTTCTCTGCACACCCAGGCAATGTGTTGTTGAGATATTGGGATACAAGACAGATGATCAACTTTGGACCTGATTAGCATAAGAGATTTGAGTACAGAATGCCTTGGGAAGAGCAAACAGAACTTTGAGGATTAAACGAAGATTCAATCAGAGAGGTTTACTGGAAAAGAAAATTTCATTAAAGTTTGTAAGGAAGAGAAGTTGTAATATGCGAATGTTTGTGTATGTGATTTTAACCTAATCATTGTAGTAAACATTGCTAGTCTTCCTAAAACAGTATATAAGCATTGGTAGTCCACAATAAATTTGGATTCTGATCACCAAATCAGTTTTCCCTGTCTCTCTTCATCACCAACAATGTGTGGATGAAATTCTTTCTGTTGCACATCCTGGCCAGAATAAAGTAATGCCTTCATTCTCTAACACTAAATATGTTGTTGGAGGGTTTTTCTTGTTGTTTCAGTGACACTGCAAGGCAACTATAAAAAAAAATGTCTTTGATACCAACAGTCACATGGATCTGATGAGCCTGAGGCTGAGTTGTGGAAATCAGTTTGGCTGTGTGAGGAACAGCAGCTGTTCCAGGGCAGTGTCAGCTCTGAGGCATTGGCAATTGTCACAGACATATTTTATGAAAAATCCTTTTGTTAAGATTTTTTCTCCTGAGAAGCTGAGAGGCCTCAGAAACAAAATGTAAACAGTGGTTATCTGCTGCTGTGGAATGCAACAGGTGCATCTGTGATTGGCCCTTGTTGGTTGTTTCTAATTAATGGCCAATCACAGTCAGCTGGCTCAGACTCTCTGGTCAGTCACAAGATTTTATTATCATTCCTTTCTATTCCTTTCAAGCCTTCTGATGAAATCCTTTCTTCTATTCTTTTAGTATAGTTTTAATATATCATTTTCTTTTAATATAATATATATCATAACATAATAAATCAGCCTTCTGAAACATGGAATCAAGATTCTCATCTCTTCCCTCATCCTGGGACTCCTGTGAACACCACCACAGGCAATCCTCTGTCAGCCACCACTCCTTGTTGGGTTTTATGTTGGATTAATCCATATTCTGACCCAGAGATGGGGTTACTCAGAGGTGTTTTTAAAACTTTTATTCCATTTTCAGTCTCATGTGAAGGATGAGACAGTACAGATGTTATAATTCACGCAATCACAATCAGAACCCGATTATTTCCTAATTACAATACACTACAAGTGTTTCTTGGCCTATCAGCTTTTGCCACACCATGCTGTAAATGCCTTAAAGCAAATAATCTAAAATTACCCCTCATAACTCCACTACAGTGCATCTATTTCTCCAAAGTATCCAGTGTTATTTTCAAGGCCATCCTTTGAAACTCATTTCTATTTCCATTTCTCTCTCAGCATTTCTTATCTCCAGGTTTGCACACTGTGTGAGCCTTCTGCCAGGCTGCACCCACCGGCTGATCTGGCCCTAAATTCTTGTTGCTTGGCACTTGTGAGAGTGTATCGGGACAGTTGTGCACAGTACAAAAAAACCCCCAAAGATGTTATTAGAATGGTGTGAGTCCAGTGGAAGTAAAGCAAATTTATCAGAGAACTGGAGAACATTTCACCTGAGGAGAAGCAGAGAGAAGACAAAGCCAAGAGGAGTCCCCTGAGGGGGACTCAGAGCCAAGTTAGAGCCAGACCTCTCACAAAGGGCTTCAAGTAAATCTTTTCTGCACAAAAGGAAATAAATATTCACAATGAAAGGACAGGGGAAGTCGTGGCACTGCAGGGAAGTTTATACAAGCCCTGTTTGGAGATATCCACACTTAATGAGAGAAGGGCATGAGCAACCTTGTCCTGCTTTGCTTTTAGCAAGGACTGGAGCTCCAGAGGTCCTTCCCAATCTCATTTTCTCTGTGGTTTGATTATACTTTTGCTGTTCTTTCACAAGTGTTTTCCCACAAGGTGTTTTTTCATGTTTTGATCCCTAATTGGTCCCTGAGGTTTGACACAGTGAGGAAATACAGGACTGTAATACCCTGCCACCATTATATAAAGGACCTGAAGAGAGAGGAAATTTTTTTTTGCCAGAAATCAATTGCCAAACTAAGCTAAGGAGGAACAGAATCAGACTCAGAATACTCTTTGTAGCATCCTGGATATACTGGTAACTACCTGGAGCATTTCTTAGAGTTTGGGTGTTGTTTTCTGAAGAATAGGGAAAGTTTAAAGGAACATTGACTTGGGAAACTGAACTCTTATTCTTCAAACTAAAGTAAAAGCCTTTAGCTGTTACTGAGGGAGTTTCTTAGCTTAGGGGACCTCTCTCAGCTTCCAGATAATATCAGTCCATCTGTGGCATTGAAAATATGTCCTATACTTAGTATGGTTTGTGAGAGGGAAGGTTTGTATTGGTGTTTTTTGAGAAACAGCCATAAGATGATGCCAATAATCTCCTGTGTTTTGCTTGGGAAAGGGCTTTGAGAGGAAATATTTGATGGGAACAGTGCATTAAGAAGGGTTGTACCATCCCAATTTATAGCTATCCTTTTGTTGAGCAGTTCAAGAGGGAAATTTGAGTGTCTTGTTTGATATGGGTTATCAGCTAAATAAGATGGGCTTACTTTTCCTGGAAATTCATTGTGTTGTTTACTTCAGTCATTCAGGAATATCTGAAATGAATCTGAAATGAATCTAAACTGCAGTAACTTTCTCTTTTACAATATAAATCTGTCCTTGCACCAATCTAACCTGCTTCAGAGTCAGTCTGTGGTGTGATTGCATTCCACTGTGGTAAGTCTCTGGACACAGCAAAGTTCCTATTCTGGGCATGTGGGGATTTTTTTTTTGTTTGTTGCAGGGTGGATGTTGTCAGATCATTCAGAGAGACCCAATAACAGCTTCTGCACCCTTTTAAGTGTGCCATGAGGAAACTGTAGGAATTGTTTTGACTGAAGTGAGGACTCAGTCTTGCAAATGAGGCTTGGAACTCCTTTTTCACGACCAGGATTTGTAATATGTGGTTACTGTGGTTGCTGCA